GCTGGTGACTGAATTTTGCATTTGGACACAGAAGTTTGTTCTCCACCTTAACTGCAACGGCTCTTTCAAGTGTCCATTATACCTTAATGGAAACTTGCAAAAGTTGCTTGTTGGCATGAAAAATCAGATGTGCCTACACAATGCACAAATAGCTCCAGCATTCCATAAATGTAAGAATTGCATTTTCATGGTAACATCTATTTCTCACAGGGTGCAACAGACACTTCAAAGACTTGTAAAGGCATAAAGAAACAAAACAAATATTTAAAAAGTTGACTATTAGGCTACGCCATGAGGGCTAAGTTTTTACCCACTTATTGTCAATCTCTTAACAGCAATACACAGCGTGTGCTGCAAATGAAGTAACAAGTGGTTAAAGTAAACCTGCCATGAAAGAAATGCTGCAGCTGCCACTGTTGTCCTGAAAATGCCAGTTGCCTTGGCTGTTAGGATAACCCTCTGGCTTTAACACTAAAGTACAGTATACGGTGGTTGAGTTTCAAATCGATTTTTCATTCATAATTCCTTCAGTGTAAACCCTACTTAACTCACAAGCTCGGGAGGTGTATGCAAATCAGGAACATCATAAGCCCTAACCTGCATACTTATTTTGTGTCAATGACAAAGTAGAGGAATTGTTGCATAACCAATGCAGCCAGATAATGAACATATGCAAAATGAACATATGCAAAACATGGTCAGAAATTGCACCTCCATGTTTCTTTAGCTTAAAAAGCCAGATGTGGCAGAAAGGTAGGAGTTGTATTTCATTCTGCAATTAAGCGATAGGAGCTCTGTGAATGGGGGTTTTATCTTAATTTTCTATGAATAAACCTAAATTAACCAGCCAAGATCAAGATTTGTGTTTGGCTGCGAGAAGTTGGAGCAAATCTCTGACATTGAAGTAGCTGCAGGAATCCTGACAAGGGTATGGTAGTTGCAGTCACAGCCAGTAGGGGGTAGCAGAGCAGCTTTAACAATGACTGACAGCATGCTGCTGGTTCCAAAGGACTAGCAGCATTCTAATAGTATTCAGCAAGTGTTAATAAATGTTGTTACAGAGCCAATGTTACTATTCTTTTCACACAGTTTAAACTACGCCATTTTTCTAAATCCTTGAACACAAAAAATATATATATATATATATTCAAAATGAAAATACATCCCTTCATGTCTTGAATGTTAAGGGTCAGGGTTTTGTCAGCTCAAAGAAACTGTATACTCAAAATGCCCTATGATGGTTAATGCATTCTCCTACAAAACTCACTAAGGACATGTAACATTCACTTATTCATCTGTAAGTCCTAGCTATTTACATGCATTTCAAAGCATTACATTTTATGCGGAAAGTTATTACAGCTGTCTTCACACTTAACTCGGATACAGTATGATTCGTCAATTGTGGCTTCTTCTAAATACTAAGCAGTAGCCACACACTAACAAATATAGCATCTTAATACAACAACTGGTGCTTGACAGATTCAGAGAGGCCTTCAGATATTTCATCTTACATTTTAAACGAGACCTGCGATTTTTAGGACAATTTCATATTTAGATCAACAACAACAAAAAAAAGCCAAACGACAGCGGATCCTTTACGAACATTGAGCATTAATGACGGCCGGAAAAACAGAAATGCAAAAAGAAATCAACATTTAATCATACACATCTGACAGGAACCTTTGCATAGTATGAAAACAAATATGCAATGATAGCCCTGGATTCCCACTCATGAGCACCATGGTGAATATTTTTCATAAGGTAGGTATTTGCTTCATGTTGACCCTTAAACAATCTGTACTGACAAAACATGGGCAATCTATGTACATTTAGAAGGGTCGGTCTGGAGTCCTTGACCCGCCTCCTATTACCATCTTATTACATTTTCTATTAAACTAAGTAACTTGACTCCTCCCACACCGATCTAGACTCATTATATTTCTGGGTTTCTGGGATACACGTACAGCCAGAGGGTGTCTCATGTCAACTTTAGATGGTCTTGGCCTCTAATGTGTGTGTGATGAGCACATGGAGTATTGGCAGCCATTTTCATTAGAATGCATCCCATGACTTGAGTAGACATTATGCAATCAATTGATTTAAGAATAGGCAATGCCCTAGTTCAGCTCACTTCGTGCCTCACTAACATGTCTTTGCCAGACCCCATATTAAAAGGAGATAATCAATTCATCTCACAAAAAAGCTACCTATGGTATGTAAAAATGTCAGCTACACTTTAAACCAAAGTTTACCAAGACCTTAAGTGAACATTATGCAAATAACAATTGTGTGCTGGTACTTCTAGCATCAGATTTTAACAGTATGGTGTAGGAAGGCCAAAGAAAGATGTCTTTTAATAGGTTATCACACTGCTTTCCACCCTATAGAAAATCGAAGTGGTTTGTAACAATAAATACTTACTGTAAGTTAAATACTGTGGATACTTATATAGGTTTAGTACACATTGCAGTAGGAGGCAAATGCTTCCATGTCTGCGTACCTTAGCTGCTGGATGGAATACAGAATTCCCAATAACCTATATGGAAAAATCAGGTATATGCACTCACTGCTATGTTTTCAACTGGCAATGGACACTAATGATGCTTGTTCTTTGAAGCTGTGCTTACTATATAGTGACCGAGGATACCATGAGACCAGTTAAAGCCAACAGCTGTAAATATAGGTTGCTATACTAGATGGAGATAATCTCCTCAGCATCAAGGTGCAAAAAGCCTAAAAGAGACAGTGGTCATGTAATAGTCCATTGCACATCACCAACCAAGAATGCATTGGACATGCTATAAAATTAAAGCATCCATGAATCATACAAGAAAAAAAAAAAAAGGCAAAAGATGCAGAAAGTAGCAGCAGTTAGAAGTTATAGTAGACCATGCAAAAATCTAGTAACAAAATATCTTTAGGAAAACAAGTCAGTGTCTTAGCAGCAGGGAAAAAAAATCAAAGGACATAGAAGTACAATGTCACTGCAGTAGCTGATGTTCTATAGCCAGCAGGACAAATCCCATAAGGCTGGTAACCATTGCTCATAGAAAATGATGGCTTGTTGTCAATGGAAGAAACATTCCCCATCTCCTTAAAATGCTTGCTGGTTCTCCAATGTGACAGGTTTACGAGTTTGACTCTAAAACTTGTCCAATTACATGATGAAGCTTTTCAGCAACTAACAAGGCAACTTTCCAAATAAAGGCAAGCTCTTACTATTGCTCAAATGTTGACTCTTGATTTTTGTCTTTCAATCTTGATATGGACACCTCTCTCATGAAATGTCTACAGGCCTACATCTAGCCTCCTGCACAATTCACAACAGGTAAAATCAAAGCACTTTGAAGGCAAGGAAATTGTTAAGGACCAGGATAAAAAAAAAAAAAAGTGAGGCCATTCAGCAATTTACAAAAATTCCCTTTTGTCCAGTGAAAAACAAACAAACATAGAACCCCCTTTTGACCAACTCAAGCCCTTTAAGAAATTTTTTTAGTAACTGAAGTTATGACTTGGATCATCTGGCGCTTGTCTGACTCAAAGACAAAAAATTGCACTATCAGCATCATATGTAGTAACATATAATGAAGCAAATACTGACCTTTACCTACTTGCCGAACATAAGTGAATTTTTTCTTTAACCAAGATCAGCTTCTGCAAGTACTCAAGTACTACCTAATTACTCACGTACAGAAATACTGGTGGTTTAAGATTCCCAGACATTTCTCCTAGGCACTTGTTTGCGTATTATTTTAGCCAAACACTAAAAATGTATAAATTGACCAATTATTACTTATAAAAAGAAAATACAGATGTTGCATAGTAACTAACTTTGGCACTACTTCCCTTGACGTGATGCTGTGTGGAGCCTGAAAAAAAATGCATGCAAATTACTTTTCTTTAGTAAATACACAGGACACCCCCTGTGTATAATGTTAAGAGCACTTGAGTTACATTTAAGAGTCCATGTTATTAACAATAGGGCCATCAATGTGTGGAAGAAGGTAGGTAGGTCTTGAAATGGCATGGCACGAGTCATAAGAAATGTCTTTACTTCCCCACCTTCCTTAGCCCTTTCCTTATATTTGAACAGACATGAGACAAGACATTTTCATGTCTTCCCTACCACAGGCCACAGCAGTATACAGCTGTGGCAGGGAAGAGGTTGAACAACGTGGTGGCAGAATAGCTGTCCTCAGCTTTAGGTAACAGATGTCCCTGATCCAGACACAGAGACAGAAAGAGGAATATAAAGAGCCAGCAAAGAGAAAGAAAAGCTCTGACACTGGCATGAGTTATTCAAGTATCAAGAAAAGGCCAGAAAACAGGAGCGGAAGTCCTCAGAGGAGAGAGCAGACATATAAAGTAAAGTAATTCCCACAATGCAGTCGTAACCCCTGAAAACACAAGGGGTTGTAAAGGCCACGGACAGAAATCAGTTTTATTTGTTTCTTCCAGGAAGAAAAATCCACATTACGGGGGCTCCATTTCATTTTTTGTTTTCTCAGTACTTTCATTTCCACAGCAAGTAGACAATATATGAAGCTCTGATTTCTGTTCTCTTCACAGGAAGCCACTGGTATTACCCATGTTCCTCTCAGCAATGTGTGAGCAGAGCTGGAGTGGTCCTTGCAAAATTGTTAAGTTGGTTAAGAGGAAAAAGGGCGAGAAAGAGGAAGGTCTTGATTGGATGTTAGCGGTTGCCTTTCATGGCGTCTTTTGCAGCCAGGATAAGAGGTGTGAGGCTGGACAGTGGCTTGGCAAGTTTCAAGAATGGGTGCTTTAACAACAAAGGGAATAATAAAAAAAGTGAATTGTTTAAAATTTTCTTCTTGCCTACAGACAAAGAATAGCACAGAACTGTTCATTTCAGATATACTTTTAGAAAAATAGAATAGTACTTCTGAACAGGATGGTACAATAAACACAGGTTTAGATAATGCTATCAATTAGCAGGTGGGCCCATTTTTCAGAGTGCCAAATCCAGGACAGAATATTGGCCACTCTACCATTGCATATAAACGTGTTAAAGTTTTAGGGCCGGCTGACACCATTTACCGCGCTGGAACGCACTGTACTTAACTCCCCCCTGCGTTTTGGGGCAGGAGGGGGCGTGGCAGTGCAGTTAAGTTAATGACCCCCCACCCCCTCCTCCGCAGTGCAATCACAAAAAACAGCGCAATCAGTATTTTTTTGCAATTGCACCGGACCGGAACGCAGGCATTGTTGTGCCACACGTTCCGGTGCGGGTGATCGTACTGCGGGCGGGATTGGGTGGTGAATGGAGTGTGGCTGCAGGGCCATTGACTTCAATGCACCGCCATGTCCCCTCCCGCCCCAGAATGCGTGGAGGGGGGGGGTTTAGCATGCGATACAGTGCATTCCAGCAGCTAACCGCACTGGAGCACATTTTAATTGGTATGAACAAGCCCTTTGTGCTTGTATTTTGTGATTTCAACAGCTTTATTATTAAAATAAAATTTTCCCTTTAATCAAAGCAGAGTTACTTCTTGCTGTCCTCTATACAAGCAGATGGTGTGCTCACCTGTAGGAGCTCTCTAGCTGAGCCTCTCTTCTCCACATCCATCTCCAAAGAGCGGTTCAGAAAGTCTCGGAAGATTGGAGACAGCTTTTCAGGATTCTGCAGCTCTGGGGTGCCATTAGTGGCAATCAAATACAAAGCCTAAGTGGAGAAACAAAACTCTGTAAGGCATGCTGCCAACGACTATTTCCTAACTTTGTCATTATATTACTTAATGAGACGTAAGTTGAACTGCCAGGATAACAAATTGTCTCAGCAAGACACAATTTTATAAAAATAAATAATCATCTCGGTAGGATATGAGGCCACAAGCAGTGAAATATCAACGGTGGAAGTCTTCCACTAATTCTAGGTAGATATAGTGAGGTTGATTTACGGTCCATTCACACCAATTGCGGTGTGTTCTAGAGCGGTAGCTGCTGGAACGCACAGCAATTGCTCACTAAACTCCCTCCTTCGTTCTTTCCTTCCGGGATGGGGCGTGGCGGTGCATTGAAGTCAATGGCACCGCTTCCACCCAACCACCCCCCCCCCCCCCGCCCACAGGGTGATCGGACGTGTGGCAAAACATTGCCTGCGTTCCGTTCCACTGCGAACACAAACAAATGCTGCATGCTCTATATTTTGCGCTCGCAGTGGAACAGAACTCAAGCAATGTTTACCTACGCGTCCGGTCGCACTGCAGGCGCAGGGCACGTGGCTGTGGTGCCATTGACTTCAATGCACTGCCACGCCCCCTCCCGCCCCAGAACGAAGGGGGAAGTTTAGTTTGCGATGACCGAATAGTTCAAGCACGACCTTAAGGGCGGATTCCGCACGTTCCGGCTATGGTAATAGCCGCAACCGTGTGGAATCCGCACGTATGTTAACGCTTGCACGGTTTTCCGTGTGAAAAAATGCACAGAAAATGCTACCGCTGTGTGTGAATGGAGCCTAAGATGGAGGACGAGCAGTGTATGAGCTACTCCTACTGAATCACATTACAGCCGAGTAAATGTCTCTCTTTCAATTCTATTTGATCCCCACAGCTCAGGCGATGCTTTCACAAACTTCAGAAACATTTAAATCTAATCATGAGATTTTAGTTGGGTAGTTGTAGTAGGATATATTAGTTGGGCATATGTTCTTAGCTTGTATAACCATTGCTCCTTTATTGTATCCATTTAAAAAAAGCAAACTGTCTGTCCATTATCCATAAAGTCTCAATAAGTATCACATCAACTATTTTATACAGAAACTAAGATAAAGGCAGGCAAGTTGGAGTCTACAATTGTTTTGAATCTAGCAGTGCATTGTCAAGACTCAAGGACTAAACAGCAATTGGTGCAAAATGTACACAGAGGATGAGACAGGGAGGTAGGAGCTGTACTCAATGTACAATAGCATGAGTATGATACTTATTGAGCTTTTATTCATTATGTACAAACACAATGGACTTTAAAATTGATTCAGTAACGCAGTCATCTTCGGGTGATGAAATTGCTCTTATTTTTTCTATGTAACTTTGTAACTGTTTACTTGTTAAATTTTATCTAGGCAACTGAATCCTGTGAAGATTGTGCATCCCCCAATATGTGTTGGTGTACCTATTGGCACACTTTGTCAACTTTTTAAAATACTGTATTAAACTGGAATCTGTTTACAGTGAATGCTCTGAACAGAAAAATGATCCAGTAAAGGAATAATATTGTACATACAAGCAAAGGATGTGTACTATGCCATCTTGTGAACCAAGCTAATCTGACACGCTGTACAATACTGGCAATGCAACACAGAGAGATTACCACAATGAGGAGAGAGCAAAGTGATAACCTGATCATTATAGTGATGCTCTTCATTGCAATAGGTCCATACTGTACTGAGGACAGCATGGCAGAATATATCTTGAGCACAAGCTCCCTGCCCCTAAAATTCTAAAACCTGCACGGAGGTTGGTGACCAAGCTGTAGAGAAGGGGTGGGCAAACTCCGGCCCTCCAGCTGTGGTGCAACTACAAATTCCATTAGGCACTGCAAAACTGACAGACACGACTCCCACAGGTAGAGACATGGCGGATTTGTAGTTTCACCACAGCTGGAGGTTTGCCTACCCCTACTGTAGACCTTTGCCAGACAGGATAAATAAGGAACAGAATTAGAAATCTTTTTGCAAATATAACAGTTCAAACTTTCAAATTATGCAGCGCCCGCAACATATAACGTGTTAATATCATAAACCATGAAATCCCCCAGGGGCGGGCCTAACTACAGGCCATACCGAACACAGGACTCCGTTCCTAGGCTGTGTGTATTGGTCGAACAAAATTTTAAATGTCCGTGATTGTTCGTTTTAAACTTGATTTTTAATAAAGCCTCTGTGTTGAAAAACATTACACAATGAAAGGCTTCTTTCTTCCATAAACGTGGAGACACATCCTTTATTGAAGACCATAGCGAGACTGTGGATCGATGCTGCGGTCCTGAGAGCTTCTGTCTGAGCGTTTCCGGCTGCTTACCACAACAACTACCTCACGGTGAGTGCACCTTTTGAGGGGATATATGTGGTATTAACCCCTATCCCCAACATAGTTCACGGAACTTCTTTTGAACACCTTTTTTTAAATATTTTTTCGAATACTTTTTGAACAGTCCTCTTTGGATTTGACACATCACATCATTCAACAATTATACGGTGGTTGTCACTAACAATTGGTTCACATACCCTGTGGGATCAATGATCCAGGGCCAATGATGATTTCATTCATGTGTGCATTATACGATTATAGTTTATACATTTGAGTCACATATATTTATTTGATTTCATGGTTTATGATATTAACACGTTATATGTTGCGGGCGCTGCATAATTTGAAAGTTTAATATTTTGACCTAACGGTCGTTTTGCTGCAGCCTTCAAATTAAATTTGCACTTTTAGCACTTATACATCTTTATAGATCCAGCGCAGAATCATTAAAATCTATATAAATATAACAGTTCGTATTTGTGTCTTTTAATTGTGTAGTTAGCAGATTTCATGGATTTCAGGTTAAGGAAATAAGCAAAAGACAAATTCATGCACCCCACAATATGGCCACGGATAACTTACTCTTAGAGGGTTCTCATTGAGGTAAGGTGGTTCTCCTTCCACCATTTCAATAGCCATGATACCAAGGGACCAGATGTCGACTTTAGGTCCATATGCTTTCCTGGTAACCACCTCTGGTGCCATCCAATATGGTGTTCCCACCATAGTGCTGCGCTTGGTTTGGTCTGGGGTAATCTGAGCACAGAAGCCAAAGTCAGCTAAAAGAAAAAAAGAAAAGCAGTGAGTATAATTGTTGCATAGTGAATAGGTTTATGGAGCAAAATCAGAGGGGAAAGGTAATTGCATGTATACGCCAAGTGAATTGTATTAAGACTTATCTAAATGATGCTAATTTAAGCCTATTTGCTAGAAAACAAATCTATGTGAAAATGACAGAGTGACCAACTATAGTTTGTAAATATCACTGGCCTATCATTTTTCTATATATATATATATATTTCTACTGACACTGCCTCCTCTACTAGAATCCTCAAAGTAATACATACAAGACTCAGACTCTGACAAGAGTAGACCTCTCCACGGTACTGCATAGCACTAAACATCTGATGGGGGATTGAATCCAGCTGGATGGAGGTATGAACACATCTAACCCGTTGACTATCAGTATTATCATCTAGACAGGATGCCGCACTGGCGCATCATGCATTGCTTTATATCTGATAAATATATTTTCTGTCTAGAAATCTAGACAAGTCCATAAATGCAAAATAATGTTAAAAATATGAATGTGGATATTATTAACACTGCAATACAATATAACTATGCCTTATATGTGAAAAAGAAGAAACTAACTCAGCTTGACAGAGCCATCCATTCCCAAAAGAACATTATCACTCTTGATGTCCCTATGAATGACCTGGTTGGCATGTAAGAACTCCAGCGCTTGCAAACACTAAAATCAAAACAGAAAAAAAAATGTATTAAGAAAAAATACTATAACCACTGAATACAGGATAACGTGAATAGTCACACATGATGTAAACATCTCTAGCCAAAATCTTTATGTGCTCAGGATCTGTTCCTATTGACATAGGCAAGGCCTAGAGAACAACATTTTAAACATTCACAATAGTGTTTTTAATAGGATAAAACATGGGCAAAAGTGCTGCAAAGATCCACAAATTTTACTAAATTTTTAAAAAGGTAGCAACAGCGCGGAAATACCTGAAGGCCCTATTTTAGTCTAAGAATTTAAGAATAAATGTGAAGATTCTTGAGTTAGTCAAACAGTGAGTGTTTCTCAGCCCTAAAATACAGCTTGTCACTTTCTTTTTATACACATACTGGATGCAGCACTCACCTCTCTACATACAGCAGCTATTTGTGCTTCATCCATGCAGGTCTCTGTTACCACATCTGTGAGAGAACCACCAGCCAGATATTCCATAACAACAAACAGCTCGTCTCCAACTAGAAAACTGCAAAAGAAAATTGTCACAGAGAGCAAGGTGCATGCAAGTCTTTTCATATGCTGTATACCTAAACATATCTCCAAATGCATTTTCCTGTGACTGTTTCACTAGATCACTTTGCGGCTACACACACACACACACACACACACACACACTTTAAAATGTGCATTTTAATTGCAGAACTCTGGTAAATGCAATTTGTACTAAAAATGTTCCTTCCTACAGTAAAACTGTTGCATTTACCAAACAGATTTCTCTTGTCATTAAAAATGCATTTAAGTATAAAGAATGTTGGATGTACATTATTATATTCCCAATCACTGTACATAAGACCCCACGGTGATTAGCAAGCATGTAAATGTATACTGTCTTCATACCTGTCCAGGAAGTTTACAATATTTGGGTTCTTCAGCTCTTTCATAACAAGAATCTCATTTATGATAAGCTCTTTCTTGGGCTGTTTCTGCAGATTAATCTGTTTAATTGCAACCTGTAATAAGAAGAAAGTATGAATAATGCTAGATATTTATAGTGTGAGACATATCAAACTTGCCCACAACTTTTCTAGCATAAAATGTGCAAGTAAAACTGCCAAGTGGTTGTTCTAATTACCAAATTTGGTATTTCACAAAACAAAAAAAAGAGAAAAAAAAAAAAAAAGGAGCAGATAAGAATTTTTACTGTTCGTTCTGCAGTCAGCAAGGGGAATGTAATGCAATCCATAATTTAAACTGTAAATGTAACCCACAAAATATTTTTGTCATTCGAATGTGTGAGTCATTTTTGTACAACGATATTTTAGTGAATACCATTTATTGAATAAGGAAGTGAAATCAGTAATGATCATCTGCATAGCCCAGTAACCTTTGGTACTGATAATACATCCCATTTCCATGGCTTAGGACAATAGTATAATTACCCATTAACCAAAACAGACTTTTATAATAATGAAGAGGAAATGTGAGCCTTACCTCCTGTCCAGTGGCTACATCAATAGCAGTAAAGACAGTCCCCGAGGCACTGTGAAAAGAATCCAGAATCATTAGATGGAGCCAGACATGAACTACTAGTGTATTAAAAAGACTAAATGATGGGAAGATCATTTTCCCTACAAAACACTTAAAGCAGCACGAGACAAACACCAATGTTAAATAGGCAAAAGTACTGTTGTGATCATTAGCACAGTGCTAATCTGTTTGCTCTGGGAAATGCTGCACACATAAGACTTGTATAAGCACTGCTTATCTATATTTAAAACTGTACAAATGTAGTAAAAGAATGCATATGCAATACATATAGCACAATAGAAATATTACCTAGGGTCTATAGAGCAAATAGTTTGCAGTACTTACTCATGTACAGCTTAACATGTGACATCTAATAGTAAAAGCGTCAATGGGCTTTTGTTCAATTCAGAACTTATTTTCCCATACAAGTCTATGACAATGTTAAAGTAGTTGAAGCAGGAAAAATACAGGTCAGCCTGCAACAAATTCTGAATGATCTCATGAAGTGTCAAAACAGATTTAAAAAGCACACTGCAGTTGCTCATCGAAAGTTCGAAGCCACTGGCTCTATGGCTGCTTAAAGTGACACTAATCTTTAAATCTTAAATACATTCAAGTACCTTAAAAGAGAACTATGGGGTACGTGTTTTTCCCCATAGTTCTGTTAAGGGTCACGGGAGGACATATACTAGCGTCCTCCCGTGACCCAAAGCTCAGTATATGAGCTGCAGCTCACATGCAACAATGCTGTCGAGATCCACCCAGCTGCGTGAGTGACAGTTTGCGCTGCCCTAGATGGCTGCGTGAGTGGGCCCTAGATGGACCTTGGGTAATAGTTCTATTGTGCTATATGCAGAGCCAGCTGTACCCACCCCTCCTCCAGTCAGCGCTGACTGACAGTCACGGCTCTCTGCAGGGAGATGATTGAGAAGTGAGCGAGCAACAGTATGTGTTCGCCCACTTCCCGATCTATTGAGCCGACGTGTGACAGTTTCATTGTCGCATGTCGGCTCGAACTACAAGTTCCCCCTATTTGTGTATCACTCGGCTGTAGATCCTCTCTGAATTTTTGCTGACACTGTCCTTCCTTCTGGAGGGTGGCTACTTTTGTTCCCCACGGTCCCTGTGTGTTGTAAAGCAGCCACCACTCCAAGCTCACTCCTGTGATGGACTACAATCTCACATTCAGTTTACCGATTCGTATTGGATTGTAGTCCATCACAGGAGTGATAAATGGTTATAAATATGCAGCGCTATGGGTCTAATAAATAACTTATTCAATATATCTAGTTAAAAAATATTGGTTGAATTAATATCCTCAAACCCCATATAAAACACACTTAATCAAAATTGTGCCATTTGAGGAGGTGTTGATGTGTGTCACAAACACGAGTTTCTGGAAATAATTATCAAACAGTCCTGTGGATTCCTTTATACACACGGTGGATAGAACAGTGGATATTTTCACATATATGATTTTGGACTGATCACTTTGGATATATTATAAGGTTTATGGACTTTTAGAAATCTACATCCATTTTTCTATGAGGATTTTTTGCACTTATATCTTAATATTCGATCTTTATATATATCAATGCACTATTTTGCGCTTTGTGCACAATTCCTTTAATTGGAGGCATTCATATGGTGTTTGAGGATATTTATTCAACCAATAATTTTAAACTAGATATATTGAATAAGTTATTTATTGGACCCATAGCACTGCATATTTATAACCATTTATCATCTGGACCCTGGTGTCTATAGTGCAGCAGCTGTAAAATCATTAGTTTTCTAAAGTTCACCCACAAGCGCAGATTTGACAACAATTTTCATCACAGGAGTGAGCTTGGAGTGGTGGCTACTTTACAACACACACAGGAACCATGGGGAACAAAAGTAGCCCCCCTCCAGAAGGAAGGACAGTGTCAGCACCAATTCAGAGATGATTTGAGGATATACAGCCGAGTGATACACAAATAAGATACATTTGTTAATAGTTAAGGAACTTGAATTCATTTTTAAGATTTAAATCCTGAGTTTAGGGTTACTTTAAGTTTCTGTTTATTGTGTTTCATTTTTATTCCCTTAAGAGCCATAGCTTTTCAGGGAAGCGGAAATTTAATATAAAAAGGTCATTCTACTCTTGGATTAGTTAACATGTTACTCACAAAGTACATCCCTACTCTACAACTAGGTGCAGACTGACAAAACTTGCATAAAAAGTTTACATTCTGTAACCCTTTACATAAACAGGTTTGTACGTCAGGTTTGCTCAGCTGCCGATAAAAACCATATGCACACACACAAAAAAAAAAAAGAATTCTGCTGTAGCTGCACAACTGACATGGTTGTACTGTATGTGAACCCATGTACCAATACTACTTGCTCTGCATGTGTGCACTTGAGAATAGCTTATTGAAGCAAAGGGAACAGGAAAGCAGAAACTTACAGCAAATGAGATTTGTAACTGTGTAATTACAGAACTAAAGAGGTTTACATAACCCAGAGATGATCTGAACATAGAAATGAAGTGTGGTCTGTAATAATAAAGAGCTACATCATGAAATCTTCTACAAGATATAACAATCTTAAAACGAAACAAAACAGAACACCCTTTTACACAAGCTAGCCCAAATAGGATTTTGAAAATAACAATGGGACTTCAGAAGTAAAAAGCATGGTTCACATACAACAACTTTTATTATATTGAACACATTACCATTCATTTAAAATTAACAAGTGAAGCTTACCCTTGCCCTATCTTTTCAAATCGGGTGTACTTCTTCTTAGGATCTCCTATGCTCACTATAGTTCCTGTAGAGAAATATATTACACTTGTTAAAAGATACTGCTTGGCTTCTCGCTGTGGCTGAGATTACAGACTTCGCATTAGAACAGAAAATATATTCAGTAGTGCTAGACAAATTCCTGAAGCACAGGAGCCACAATGAGCTGCTCCTGTACGTATGCAGATCTGTATCTGCCTCATATTTAAAATATATAGCCTCATAATACAAGAAAGAAAGAACCAGAATTACATTTGTTTGTTGTGGCATTGTGCACTTTTACGTATTCACATTATGTGTGGAAGGTGATAAGCTAAAGGTAAAACATTTTTGTCATTTAAAATGAAGTGTATATATAGCAATACATTAGTTTTGGATAGAGAAGGGTTACAATTTCCCTCTATCTCTGGGTCAGGAAGTAAACAGGAAGTTAGAGGAAATCACCCATAGTGAGGAGAACCCCCATTTTAGACAGTTGTCCCTGGAACAATGAGACAGAGGGGAGGAAATCTAAGAAAAGGATTTTAAAGTAAAAAACTCCTAAATTTCTTAATTGTTTAAGGGATAAAGGAAATCCATGGACACGTGAGACATTTAAAAGCAGTCCAACTGAGGGGTAGTTAGCGCAGCAAAGAGCACGCCAAGAGGTACACAAAAAAGCCATCGAAGAAAAGCGGACGACTTAAAGATCAAAGGGCGGCATAAAAGGACCCTATGTCCCAAAAAGGCATTCGCTGAGCCCTGAACATGCACCTGGTAGAACTTAGAGAATGTGTGAACACAGGACCAGATGGCAGAATTGTAAACCTGGGGAACAGATGCCTGACGCTGAAAAGCCAAAGAGGCACTTACTGGCCTAGTAGAGTGCACACCAAAAGAAAAAGTGGAACATTTTCCTTTAACCTGTAGGGTCAAATTATAACAGGGGTGTGGAATTCCTATTGCCCGACACATGCAGTTTCGGGCGCCGGGCGAGTAGTTTTTAAGTACATTTAGCCCGGCTCCGGACAAGCAGAGCTGAATGTACATTGTGGAGCCGCCAACACTCGTTTACTACAAGTGGCCTGATCAGACCACTTGTATTAATTTGAGCAGCGGCGATAGTTTCTGCCCGCCCCCCCCGCCGTAGTTTTCGGGGTCGTCCGCTCTCCCGGGGGACCCCAAAAAACTAAGGCACAATGGCTCAGCTATAGAGCCCGTAGAGCAGACGAAAAACGTCTGCTCTACGGGCTCTCCGTGTGTTCTCAGAGACCGTAAGCGCCACCTGTCTCGGCTGCCAGGAACTACACAGAACTTCTGTTCTGTGTTGGAGGGCAGGTTCCATAAAGAGAACCTGTCACCTCCAAACTATCACATAAGGGATTTTAATCTCCTATGTAATAGGAAGAACATTAAGGGGAAAAAGTAAATAAATAAAAAGTTAAAGAAAAGTTAAAAAAAATATATAAATATAAAATATAAAGACCTAAAAAATGACAAAGTAAAAAATAAAAATGACAAAGTAAAAAAAAATAAAACCCTGCTGCCCCCACCATCTGCATGCAAATAAACGCATGCGTAGGACATTCTGCATGTGCTTTGAGATTGCAGCCGCCATTCCATGGTGGTAGCCAGAATTCTCTTACACACACACAATGTGCATTAAAGGGTAAGTTCATTTCCCCAGGTAATATGGGAAAATAAAAAATTACCCGATGAAATCTGGCCCTGTCTCTCCCAAACCGCCACCCCCCTGGCTATACTTACCTTTCGGCGAACAATCCCTCCCCTCCGCCAGTATGGGTGTACTATCTGTCCCCCGTACTGCTGTCCAGTGCAGTCCTCCCCTATGCATTTTAAATTTCGCTTGCAAATTGCAAGCACTCATTGGTCAACGTGGTCAGATGACTGAGCTGACCAGTGAGAAGCGCTATTTAGCACAGTTAAATATGTTTTGATTAGGGGTTCACCGATACTAGTATCAGTGCCGATGCCGAGTATTTGGGCGAGTACTCATACTCACCCAAATGCTTCGATACCTTCCCTAATATTGGAACTTACGGCCAGATGAAAATTTCCTCACTGGCAGTGCCGTAGGGGAACATGGAGCCAGCTTCCCCGTGCAATCAGGAAGCTGTGCGGCAAGTAATGACCCGCCTCCTGGTTTTCTGAATGGCCCGGGAAGCCGGCTCCTTGCTGATTGGCTGGAAAGCCGGCTTCCTGGCCAATCAGCATCGAGCCAGTTTCCCGGTCAATTAGGTCATTACTCGCCACCCGGCTTCCTGATTAACCGGGAAGCAGGTTTCCCGGCCAATCGCAATCAAGCAGGCCAAACAACATGGAGCCGGATTCCGTGGCAATCAGGAACCTGGGCGGGATGTCATTACCCGCTGCCCGGCTTCCTGATTACCAGGGAAGCCTGCTCCATGCCAGCGGAAGGACCGGTATTAGAATTCAGTGTCGGCGGGATCCGAAATAAAAAAAATTAAAAAAGAAAAATCGGTACGCGTACTCGATACCGAAAAACCGGTATTGGTGCATCCTTAGTTTTGATTAAAACGATTTTTTGTATTGGGACAAGTAGATTGTCATAAAGGACAAGTAGATTTGGCCCCCGCTTTATCCCTTGGACAAGTAGTTTTTTTTTACATTTCCACACCCCTGTATAACCTAAGCAATCTACAGATGGTGGAATAAGAGGTGGGAAGTCCCATTTGGGGACCTTTAGGGATGATGAAGAGAGTGCCTGTCTAACTAAAGAAAGAGGTAGCTCAGAAATGCACATGAACAACTCTAACCTCAAACAGGCAATGAAAGGAGGTCTCCTTAGGACGTCTGGGAGCAAGACAGAGAGGGAAGAACAAAGTACTGGTAGAAGGAAGAACTCACCTTGGGGAGCAAGGAGGTCTCAGGCCCCAAGATAACCTTATCCTTATGTAGAATAAGGAAAGGTTCCTTACAAGATAAGTTTGCCATCGCAGGTCCCCGATTGGCTCAAAACGTTGTCTTTGGGGGGCCCAACAGAGCCATGTTGAGATTCCACATAGGCACAGGTGTGTTCACAGGAGGAACTATAGAAGTGACACCCTGCACAAAGGCTTTCATCAAGGAATGAGAAGCAAGCAGCCTCTGAAAGAGAATTGCCAAGGCCAAACCTGACCCCCTGATGGTGCTCAAGTCCGGATAATGATCCAGATCGGATCGGAGACAAGCCAGAATATATCCCATGGAGTACTTCCTGGAATGACATCTCCTTGTCTTGCACCATGCAAAATGCACTTTCCATGTGCAATGGTACAGCTTTGAAAGAGGTCATTTTCACTAGATTTTAGGTGCATAGGGATAATAGTCAGATAGGCCCCTATCCCACAGGATCTGGGCTTCAACAGCTATAAAATGCCAGCAACTGTGAAGCAGGATGGCAAACTAGTAATTAAGACAGGTCGTCCAGGCGATCTTGGAAAGCCCAAAGAGTCTGCCAGGAATCTAACAAGCTTCCTGAAGCTGCCCGATGCTTGTTGGGAGATGAGGGGGGAACTTGTAAATCAGTGAAGACTAAACAGATCCCATGGTGTCACCAGAGGATCCACGGCTACCGCCAGAGGATCCTTGCATCTAAAAGACAAACTGGACCAGTTTGTTGTTGAACTTGGATAACAGGGGATCCACATCTAGCAATCAGCAACTACAGAGGCCCCAAAACATATTGGGTGAAGAGGCCATTTTCCAGTGTTCAAAAGAGTCTGCCTGCCAATTGTTCATGCTGGGAATGTGCACAGTGGACAGCAACAGGGAACATAGAATTCTGCCTACTTCAGAACCTGATCGGCTTCTGTTTGTGCTGCCAGACGTCTGGCTTCTCTTTGATGGTTGATGTAGGCAATCACTGTGGTGTTGTCTGACTGGATTCAGGAAGACCAGCAAGGAAGGCGCAATCGGATCGCTCAAAGCTCCAGTATGTTGATCGGCGGACCAAGTCAAGCAGGCATGTCGTCACAAGGATCTTTCAAACCAATGTAAGCAAGGACCTCCCCAACTCCAAGGCTGGATTCATGAGCCACCAGTTCAAAGACAATCTGGTTATGGGGGGGGAAGAGGTGCACAGGCAGATTGAAAGACTGCACTTTCATCTCCCACATGAAGCCAGAATGTTGAGTTGCAATTGAGTGCATTTGACTGCCTCAAAAAGGAGGCTACTATCAATCCATGGATTTTCATACAGAAGCAGAGAGATTTTGGATCATAGAGTCCAAACATGGGAGCAGAGAGTCGTGAGTTTGTCTAGAGGAAAAAAAACAAATAAACCTGGATTGGGCTGTATCTAGAAGGAGGTCCAAATACATACCCCAGATAATAAGTTCCAGCACTGATTTCTAAAAACTGAGGATCCAGCTGACTGGATGGAGAGAGCGAACGGTGCATTGGACTTAGCTAAATCCCGAATGAGCAGACTGTCCTCTCAACAAAAGGTTGGAAAAGGAATGCCCTGAGAACTATGCAGTGCAAATACCTTGGTGCATACTCAAGGAGTAGTGGACAACCGGAAGGGAAGAGAAAATACTGGTAGTGTTTCGTGCCCACAGCAAAATGCAAAAAGTACTAGTGAGTAGGGAAAATGGGGGCATGAAGGTAAGCATCCTTGAGGTCCACAAAGATCCAAAATTCTCAAGGCTGAATGCAGGCAATGACTGACCAGAATGGGGTGTATGCCCCCCAGTTGCCTTGAGAACAATTAACAAGTTTGAGTAAAGCAGCCTGAAACCTTTTCCCATCTGGCATAAGGTTGATGACACATTAAGAAAGACATTGTGCAGATTTGATAAGATGTGGGGTGGAAGTAGAGATTGAGACTCTAAACGTGCAGACTCTGGACACCATGTCCCTTACCCAAGCATCTGAGATGTGCGAGTCCATGTGGTTGCAAAGGTCAGCAGACACCCCTGCTTTTAGAAGTGAAGTGCTTTCAAGAAGTAAATCCAGCAAGCCCCTCATTGTGAGGAGGGCTTGCTGATGGACTTGCAATGCAATTAGTTTCCAGGCCAAGCCTGGACTTGACAGCCTGGGAGGAACAAAAGGAGGTTCTCAGTCTAAAAGGATGGGGGACCTCCCAGAATGGGGTTTCTGCCTCTTTTTCTGGGACCGTAAATGTACTCTTTCCACCACTGAGCTCCTTAATAAAAGGTGCCAAGGGAGGCTCCAAAGAGAAGTTCACCCTAAAAAGAAAAAGTGCAGGCATTTCGTACACTGTCGTTTTGCAGACCAGCATTTTATGGTCCTCGTTTTGTAAAATGGTGATTTTTTTTTTGTGGGTTGTAGACTCTTAAGGGAACCCAGACTGGTGATTTTTTTTAAAATTCAGACGCAGGTTGCTCTAGCATTGGATGTGTATAAAATGCGTAAATAAGCACCAAAAGAGTCTTTGAGCTCTTTAAAAAAGGAGAGGATTATACTCCTCAGCATCCCTAGCAGAATGCACAGACGTGGCCATGGCTGCATCAGACACACTCTTGACTTCGCAGTAAAACAAGAAACTCACTAATAGAAAAATATCTTTAGAAAAAGAAAAAAGTGAAATGTTGATGCTTTTCTCCAGAGAAGAAAAGACGTCCATTTTCCTAGGACACCAGCACAAAACTGATGCAAATTTAAAGTAGGAGAGGTCATCTTGTCTGACCCTTTTTGTGTACCAGTGTCCAATTCTCCTGTAAGCTGCAATATAACCCAATTGTCTGTGCATATGCAGTCTCCATTAATGAGCAGTTGAGAAAAAAAAAAAAAAAAAGTTTTGCCTAGCGATACACTTTAATGTTTTAAAAACCTTTGCTACCATTCTGCTTTGTACTTTATACTATGCATGACATACACCTGACAATTAACACTTTGCTGCAAGTGACATACTCTGGACAACTCCACTGTGCTAGAAGTTAGATACTCCAAACTTCACAATTCTGTATAATGTACACTACACATTTCAAGCTCCACTCTGAATACTGTGTAATACATGCTATACATATAAACATGGTTAATTGTCACATAGAGGTTATTCTACGTTTTTTGTAAAACTGTGCACCCCTTCAATTTGAGTTATTAAAATAAATACAACACAAAGTATGTTCCTCAATGAAAATACACTACAGCTGTTCTTTAAACAGAAAATCACCATGATTTAATTAGCAGAAAAATGCCCTGTTTATTTGGGCAAAGCCATGCATGTATCTGTGCCTCCCACTGCTAGCAAATTCTTCTTCAGTGATACCACCTCCCTGAAATCGGTATGCATCCGAAGCTTCTTGAAATAATTCACATTTGTATACAGCACAAAGATTTAACACTCTCTCCTAAAATATAATTAAGAGAAACATATGTTGCTTACGTAGTCTTTCCATGATCTCTTCATCACTCATTTTCGTTTTCTTTTTCAGTCTGTCTGCACCCTTTGCTGTACTGTCTGCATCACCAGCAGGGGGAGGTATTGGGTCGATTACAGATCGGGTGTATATCTTTTAGTAGGAAAAACATGAAAAATTTAGGTCATAATTAATTTACACATTTCTCAAGTTGTCAAAAGGCATAAAATAATGACGAATTAGAGGGAGTTTGTCAGAGGGCTTCCAGCATATCCCAACTTGTCTAGAGGGTCTCACACTGGTTACGGACACTATAGAAAATACAGCAGAAAGACAGAGAATCCCTCATTCGGTCATTGTAGTGGCTATAGTGAGCTGATGGTAAACTGAAGATGAGTTCCTTTCAGAATACATGAAAATCCTTAAGCAGTTTACGAAACCAGTGGCTAATTAAAATCACCAAGCATTTAAAAATATACGTTTGTTTGGGATTAGCCTTTTTAAATTTTTTTTTAACTGCTTTGTACTTTGAACCTGTGGTCAGGCTGCAGTCAGGCTTTTTAAAGAAACCTTTACAGACCTCTGTAGCTGTAGATACTGTGGAGAAATGCATCTTCAAAAGTTCACAAAAGAGGCTCTGAAATCACATATCCTCTTTAAAACACTTCCTCCCACAGCAGGAACTTGGCAGCCTGCCAGTCTTCAAATGTAAACAAAAACCAGGTACTTTAAGGCTCATGTTAACAGTTCTTATTTTCCAATATCCAACATGGGTTTGTAACAGCATAATCCCATTGAATGAGTAGTACACATGACAGTTCAGGGGCTGCCTTTGACCTTTGTCAAATACTGCGAGTTTGACTAGAATACCCATGAACACGAGCCCTTAAACACGAGTCCCAGCCACTATTTTAAAACGTTGCTGCCAATCAGCAGCTCCCGAGGTTGCCAAGAAGTGTTAAGTCTTGAACGGTCACAGACAAGTAGCATTGAGCACTAAGCACAGGAGCTGCAAAAATTAGGTCCTGGGTTTCCTAAGATTCCACAAATCCCTCAATAGGAGCACACTGGAGAAGCAAAAACGGTTTCCTGCACAGTGTTTACGTCACTACACTTGTGGCATCACTCTATATTGGGAGATATTTTTGTGACTGTATTGCCGATTCTCATTCTCAACATATGAGGTACTATAGCTTATAGGCAGTTATTCTGTTTTACACTGTAAACACTAGGGATGCACCGATACTTGGCATTTTCATGAGAACTACCAGGGTTGCAGAAGTTGCAGCTAGGACCTGGCTCTGGCGCTCTACCACTGTCCTGAAATCATTCGTTTGTATTATTTTAGAAAAAATGTCACATGACAACAAAAATGTATCAGTATTTGTATCTGTAAGTACTTGGACAAGTATCAGTACTTGCACTTGCAAAAATGGTATGGGTGCATCCCTTTATTTATAAAAACAAAATCATACATTTAAAAACAGGGATGCACAAATCCCAGGAGCTCTGTTTGATCCTTACAAATGACAGCTGCCTCCTAACTTTTGAATTTTTCTCTAGTCTAGTCTTGGAGCTGGAAAAGTAGTACTTGGTATCGGTGCATCCCTAGTAAACACAATGGGCCTGATAAACTATACATGGCACTGTACAGGGCATTGTTGGGCAGATATTTGTTAACAGGGGACAGAAACTACAACATTCTTGTGAGGAATCTCAATTTGCAATTTTCCAGGTTTTGTCCGACTATGTTGATTTAGTGTATGCCGAGTGTGCGCCACCAAAAAAAAAAATTAAAAAAAATGCTGGAACAGTTTACTTGGCCCAATAACTGAAGAGAAAATGTCATATTAATGATCAAGATGCCACTCACAGATTTTGTATGTTCAGGGCGAGGAGCAATAATCGGAGGTGCGGCCTCTTCTTCTGAATCTGAATGTCTTGTGGGTTCAGTCCCTTTTGCATTTGGCTAAAGAGAATGGGGTAAGGAGTGCGGTTAGCAAAGTTTTGCTAGAGAGAGAGAATGGGCAGGTTTACCTAACATGCACAATGAAAAAAAAAGGTAATACTTACAGCAGGTGATACACCAGAGGGGAGGCCATCTTTATCTATAGGAAAGACCGGACATTTACACAGTGAAAATTCATATTGGTACAATAGTTGGAACTTTTCAAGGACTGCTAAAATATGAGAGGCATTCATGCAAAGAGTCTGTTAACTAAAAATTCCCAGGGCAATATACAGTAGTCAAATAGTTTAAAGGAGATGTGTGGGGAGAGTAAACTGTACTTGGCCTGCAGCTTAGAGCTGGTGTGGAATACTGCAGCTGTAACATGCCAGGTACAGTATATACTGGGAGCTGAGCAATCATGTAACCGTCAATTACTCAGCTCTTAGACTCTTCTCCCTATAGAGAGCTGTGACTGTCAGTCAATGGCCCCAAAAGGG